ACTCTTTTGATCGTTTCTGTGTCTCTAACTGATTAGTATTAGAAATGGATTTTGAGTTTGTTTTTGCAATCAGAAAATAGAGGGAAAAATCTAGAGAACTAGCCTATTGGTCTGTGATGTCTTGTCCTGTGTTGCCCCTTTTTAAGCAATTCAATTCCAAGTTGATACTTTTAGGGAAGGAAAAGAACTGCTTGGACTTTGAAGCAAATATTATTTGCTATAAGTCTTTATATTACACTATTAAAATTAAGGATACAGAACAACACAAACATTTTTCAAATACAAAACTCTGTAGCTTCCAAATAGCTAAATCACGAAACAATAAAGTTTACAACTTAGAAAATAAAGGAAGGGTGTTATCAATCTTCTCATATTTCTCTGCAAAAGGGATAGATTCAACGAAAAATGAAAACACACCAGAAGACATTGCTAAAGTGAAGCTTATCATTATGCTAACAAGAGTTCCTATATTGGAAGAACATGTTGAATTCTGTACCAATTCTCACCCTGGCGTTCTTGAATCTTAAATCCAACATCACCAGGCATAAATCCCAACTTCAATTCTCGGAGAGAAGTCACCGGCCATAGGCCTCTCAGAACGATCTTCAACCGCTTACAGTCAACAATCTCCAGCTGTCTGAGGCTGCACATTGCTCCTTCCTCTTTTCTCCACAGCTCCACCGAGTTCAGGAACGAAAGTTTCAAGAACTGAAGCTGAGGAAAACCTCCACTAGAGCAAACCATTTCTTTGCCCACGTATGCTGATTGCTTGAGTTTCAAAACTTCTCCAACTTTTCCATAGGGTCTTCCATTAGCAAGGATCCCGTTAAGGATAACTCGGTGAGGTTCGTGGGGAAGCATTCTATGTCAAACATCTTTGACATAAATCCACTCAAGTGTAGCTTGTAGAGGTGAGTGAGGCCTGAGAAGTCCCATTGCGGAATGGCTGCAGTAGTGACCAGATTAAATTTTCTTGTTGCGGTGAGCTTCAAGCATTCGAGGTCTTTCGAGTTAAAAATCCACTTTTCTAAATGTTCTTGATGCGTATACAATTGCCCACACAAACCCAATTCTCTCAATGTGGTTAAATTTTTCAAGCATTTCTCCATGCCACTTAAAGTCTTCTCACATATATATAAACCATTTAAAGATTGGAGGTTTTGGAGATGTGTGGTAGTGATGGGTGGTATAACTACCATCTCTTGAAGTTCACTGACGTATAAGTGTCTCAAATGTTTAAATCTCAAAATCGAAGCTGGGAAAGGATTGATCAAAGTTGCTCTCAAATCAAGAGTTTGCAAGTTGGAAAGATAGAGCAAAGAAGAAGGAAGCTTTTTCAACCAAGTTCCCCGGAGCCCCAAATACCTTAAAATGAACTAGCTTTCCAATAGCTGAGTCAAGCTTGGCTATATAGGCACCCTCCAAATCGAGTACGCGCAGAAGTTTAAACTTCTTTACTTCAATGAGGATTGGCTCATTGACGTCAAGGCATAACAAGGATCTTAATTTACCTGTATTCTTTGTAGAGGGGAAACCGAAATTTATGGCAAGTCGACGGCCTTTTGCAAGGGTCCTCATGGAACGAAATTTTGTTTCATCATGAACGACATTAAGAAACCTATCCTTCTTTGCTCTTGCAATAGCAAATTCTCTCAAAAGGTCATGCACGCGACAAGTCTTGATCCTTCCATTCGATTTTCTCGTGGCAACTTGAACCATGCTCCTTCCGACTAGCTCTTCCAAGTAATCCTCCGCAACATCTTCCAATGGTTCTTGACCTCTTGGCTGGACAAATCCTTCCGCAACCCACAACAAGATCAACCTCCTGGCAGATATCTCGAGGTCTTCGGGAAAGAGACCGAAGTAAAGGAAACACGGTTTGAGATAGAAGGGCAAACCAAAGTAGCTTAAAGCTAAGATGTCTGCACATTGTATAGGGCTTTGTGTTAGTTGCCAATGCACACTCTGAAGAACCTTAAGCCACTCATTGTAGGAAGCTTCTCGTCTTGACAAGAGACCGCCTAGTACGTCCATGGAGGCAAACTTGTAACTGCGTTCCATTCTAGGGAGACTTTTCTAGACAAGAGTTCCCAACTATCCTCATCATTAAGCAAACTCAGTTCATGTGGTGGACTTCTTGGATCAGCATGTATCGCAACATCTTTGAAGCTGAGTAGTGAACATTATTCGGCTTCCATTCTTCGAGTCGGGAAAGGCTTCCTTCAAATTGTCCCAAACTTCTTTCTTTCATATGTCATCCAAGACGATGATATACCTCTTGTTGTTTAGATACCCAAATAACTCTTCCACCAAATCTTCCTTGTGCATCTTTTCCAATTCCACTTTTCCAAACCCCATTAGTCTTTTGGCAAAAATCCCTCGAGACTTCCTCTGCTCTATATTCTTGAGAGACATAAGCCCAAGCACAACAATCAAAGTGCTTTTTGATGTTATTGCTATGGTAAATCTTCTTAGCAAGAGTGGTCATTCCCAAACCCGCCATGCCAATTATCGAAACTACAGATCTTCGTGAGTCCCCATGGATCAACTGATCTTCTAATATCTCTATGTTCTCCACCAAACCAACAACATCTTCAAAAGGGTGAGGAGAAGATCTCCGCCTTTCTCGAAGTTCACAAACTTCTGAAATTGTCCCTTCTCCTTTTATCCCTATATTCTCGATCCCATAAGCTAACCTACTATCAGATATTTCATGGATTCTTGTTTTGATCCTATTAATCTGCCTATGAACCTTACAACGAGCGACTAATTCACACAAGTCATATAGAAATACCTCTTTAAACACATCACAAGCCCTTTCTTTGAATTTTTCTTCTTGTGATCCTTTGAATATAAGTATATGTATCATCAGCAACATCTCTTATCTCTGCAACCCAATTTCTGATCCTTGCATCCTTATCTTGTTTAGCATCCGCATCTTTGAGAAAGCATTGCATTCGTCTGAGTTCCGCTTCAATCCACTCGAACTGATTGTGAACTTTTATTTTATTATCATTATTTTTTTTTATGTATCAAATATGCTTCATATTTTGATCAATTTTCATCAATGAACCATTAGTTGTTGTGTCTGAATGCATCTCTTTAGTCAACTAGTTGATACAACAACTTCTTTCTTCATTAATGATGATATAACTCTACTATTTTTAGTTGGTTTTTGGTCTACGATAGTATGATCATTACAAGTGGCAAACAAAGAGATAAAAGTATTCAAGTTTTTGTTTTCTACTGATTGATAATTGACATGCAAACTCTTAACTTTTTTAGGTTCATCAGCACTGTAATTTTCTTCTGTACCAAGAAATAAGAAGGCAATTTCGTCCCTTGGCTGATTACCTATTTTGAACTGCCTCTTCTTTTTCCTACATAAAAAGGTCTCTACAAACTCGGGAGTTAAAATTTTACCTGATTATATATAGTAATAGCAACATTGATTAGTCAAAACAAACCAAACAGAGATAACTCTTCACGTTGAATTTTTGTGTGGTTAAAACATGTAATTTTCAGCTTTAAAAGATTTGTGTTACTAAAAGCTAGAAAAATTCTAGCAGATTATAAAACAATATGAAGTTAAGAGACATTTAAACAAAAATGAAAAATGAAACATGGAGGAGAACAAAATTAAAATTGTTTGCTTTTGTGGTCTTGGGCCTAAAAGTCTTTGTATTTGCACATATTACATGATCATTAGGAAGATTGGGGCCTACATATTTACATATTCACGTGTTGACTAATTATAAATTTGAGAAAATTGGTGAATTTAGCTTTTAAATGTATTGTTTTAAGATTTTTATCGTTTTATTTTTTATTAATATCCTTCTGATTAATATAATTCTTTGAGTAAAGAGTATTAATCAAGTGTAAGAGATAAAAATTTAAAACTCGTACATTTTAAGAGATATTTATCTCATTTTCTCATTAAATTTTGATCCGGCAAAAAGAACGACTTCTATTGCTGATCTGCGGACCAGGTTCGTAGCCTCCAGAACTCAAGCCTCATTCTTTATTTTGTTTTTTTTCTTTCTCTCCTCTTTTTTTAAAGGTAATTATATTCTAAATTTAAAAAAAAATTTACATACTAATACTGACTCAAATAACCTCTTAACACAAGAAAACTTAACCTCTTTCTCTCCTCTTTTTTTAAAGGTAATTATATTCTAAATTTAAAAAAAAAATACATACTAATACTGACTCAAATAACCTCTTAACACAAGAAAACTTAACCCCGATCACAGATTATAGCCACCATTAACTATTAATGCAACACACAAGCTGGTAAAAAGTGCACCGAACTCCAATGACGGGAACCCGAAAGCGGCCAACTACCGAGCACATAGACGACCTCTTTCCTTTCAATCGATAAAGAATTTTGATAGATTTAGACGAAAAGATGCGTAGCACAACGCTCAACCTCGAGTGACAAAGTCAGAAACTTTTGTCGGGAGGCTAGTTATTACCACAACAATTGACTAATAATGGCAACAAAACCTTAATCAAAACTCAACAAATTAATTTACTACAATTGTTCTCGATAAGTTTTAATGCCTTGAAAATCTTATATAATAACTTTATTATCAAGACTATTGAAGGCCATTGAAGGTATATTTCTTGATGTACATAAGTAAATATAATTTATAAATTGACCTCTCATTCTATTGCATAGTCGATTCTTCACAACATTTATAATAGAAAAACCCCTTTCTACAGTTGCAGTACACATGTTAGAATTAATACTAATGTCAAAAAAATTGATGAACAAATGAATATAAGTTATTTTTCCTGAGCTATTTTTCATGTAAGATCACTATTACTTTTTGATCCTATCATTAGAACATGTAAGATCACTAAGGACCCGTTTAGAAGTTGTATTCTGGATCATAATTCTGAGTTATGTGGGAGAATCCACGTTTGGAAGCCCAAAATCACTCATCTGACTCTCGGTCAAAATGTACTTTCTGGGTCACTTTGAATCCGGATTTTAAAATCAGGACTGACTCTGATTTAGCGTGTTCCTAAATCAGAGCACAGTGTTTGCACAGTATTTCCATGTGCTTCTGCTTCCCCGAGTAATGCCCCCCACCCACTCTACTGACCATTTCTCTCTTGGCCAGAGAATCCACAGCCTTTCTCGCGTGGGTTTGTAGGTGGCCAGGCTTTGCATTTTCTCCTCTCTTTTCTTTCGGTAATTCTCCTCTCCCCGTGGCTCTCTTTCTTCGCATCTCAGGCAAACCCACGGCGGACTCCCCTCGTGGGCAGAGAATCTCCAGCCTTTCTCACGTGGGTTTGCAGGTCTCCAGGCTTTGCATTTTCTCCTCTCTTTTCTTTCGGCAATTCTCCTCTTCCCATCGGTCTCCTCTTCGCATCTCAGCCAAACCCACGGTGGCCTCCCCTCTTGCCCAGAGAATCTCCAACCTTACGCGCGTGTGCTTGCAGGTATCCAGCCTTTCCTTTTCTCCTCTATTTTCTATCAGCAATTTTTTCCTCTTCCCGTTGGGCTCCTCATCTCCGGTAACCAGCCAAACCCACGGCGGACTCCTCTTCTCGAGTTGATGAGAAATGCTTCAAGTAAAGGGCTGATTGTGAGCAATCGACGGAAGCTCCACATTCGGTATCAATTTCGGCGATACTACCAAAGTAAGGTCATTTATCGCCTTCGCCGAAGAGGTAACAGTCGGGAAATTTACACAAGTCCTGCATCCGTGTTTGGATCTCTGCCTGCGGTGTCCTTCATCTCCTCATCAGACTCGAACACTGAAAAGGTATGCCATTCTCACTTTCGATGCAATTTGTCTGCAAACCTGAAAACTTGGAATGTGGGTAGTTTGAATGGCAGCATTTCTGTTTTTTTTTTTTTTTTTTTGCTTACATTTTTGTGAGATGCATGAAAATGATATGCACCGAATTTGGCCTTTCTGTGACTGTGAATCAGCAGAATATAGCATAGATAGGTGTTTTTTGAATGAAATTGATATAGCTAGAATATACACCAAATTGACTGTGTGGGCTGAGTTGGGTGAAAATTTTCCCGAAACCAGTTTTTGACATCAGAAAAATCCATTTTGCTTCAACCGCTGCCATTTCTTCAGCGTCTCTGTTAAGTCTTCTTAGGAGGTTTTCTTCCTTCATGGCATTATGTACACGAGAAAACGAAATAAAATAGTGTAGTGCACCAAGTAAATAACTTTTTGACTAAAAAAGCCATACAACCATAGAATGCACAAGCATTGGACTAGACATGTTTAGCAGTGCACCAAGAGAATAAAAATTATTTGTGTCTTCCATGTTCGTGGGTGTGTGTTGTTGGTGGTTATGCATCTTAAATTGTTGTTGTAAGACCATGCCTTGTTTATGCACGCATGGGACTCCTCTTGCCTGTCCTATGCGTATGTAGATGCCTAAGAAAAATCCAGATGAGAGGCCGTTGTATTGGAGTCCTGCAGCAGAGGAGTTTCTACTTGAGCAACTATACGAATACAATGACATAAACCACGGGAAGCTACTAGGGAATCATGACTATAACCAATGGGCTGCTCGGATGGCCACCTTTTTCGATGGATATGTACCCGACGGTGAACGTTTGAGGGAGAAACGACGCCGACTTGGCAACCTTTACTCAGCGTATAAAACGCTGCAAGACCATACTGGAGTAGGGTGGGATCCTATCAGTAAAACTTTTACATGCTCGGAGGAACTACGGACATCTCTTTGCAAGGTAATATGTGTGATTCATTGCTCCTCCATTAGTGATAATACTAGGAGGTTACATGTTCGTAGCTAAGTATAATGTCGCCCATGTGGAAGCTTAATGAGACGTACTTGGCGGCTGTTTTTCCTTCAAGAGTTATGGCGTCTAGTTCAGCCGCATATCACAATGTTGTCCATGTGGAGCCGACAGATGATGTTGCTGATGGGGATGAACAACCACAGCCTCACCAGAATGCTCCTACCCAAAATAGTGATGATGATGAGATGCCTAATGAGCTTCGTAACCGCGTGGAAAGTTTTCGAAGGCGGACGACATCCAATATCGCCTCATCATCACGGGTGATAAGAAAGAAATAGACAAGGGCACGCAAATCCAATGACAGTTCACGGGAGGAGTTGTTTGATTTCTGTAGGGACATGCGTGACGATTTGCGAGACGACATTCGTTCAAGCAAAGAGCCAAGTCACGACACTGTCAACGGACCAAATGAAATGGATATGATTATAGCGTCATTTAAGGAAATGGGAATTGACCCGCGTACGTACGCCCATGCGTTTGACAAAATAATGGCGTCTCCCACGTGGCGGGTAGCCTGGCATAAACTAGATGAACCCATTAGGAGGGTTTTTTTAAACGACTTTGTTGATGTGCCAAAAACCCCATGTCCATATTAGGTGCCTAATCCATATAGCCAGCCGCCTCATAACTTCTCTCCCAGATCAAATCCATACACGCAGTGGCCACAGTCCTTCCAGCAGCCATCAAACCCCTATAGTCAGCCCCCTAACCCATACCACCAGCCTCCACCAGCCTACCAGCCACCACCACCCTTCAATCCACCTAGCCCGTAGATGTCTAGTATGATGTTTCTATTTACAAACTTAAGTTATATTAAATGGTCGATATTCCCTTGCTATTAGACCACGGATTAGTCTAGTCTACCATGTTGACATGTGTAAGCGAGATTTCGAGACTATTGTTTGTGTACCGGTTTATTTTCATTCTTTGTTGTATGAGACTGTATTCTATACTATTGTTGTAGACTGTGTTGGTATATTATATTAAATGGTGGTTTTTTCATTATAAACTATTGTATGGGAATTTTTTATTATTCACTGTTGCTCTTCTTGGGTGCTCTGGAAATGGAGCACACGGCAGGTTGGTTCATTTAGGAATGTGGGCTGCTTTTGCTCTGAGTTTGGAGCACACGGCAGGGGGGTTATGGGCTGCAGCAGGGGCTGCTTTTGCTCTGAGTTTGGAGCACACGGCAGGGGGGGTTATGGGCTGCAGCATGGGCTGCTGTTGCTCTGAGTTTGGAGCTCACGGCAGGGGCTATTTGGCTTGGGAATGTGGGCTACTTTTGCTCTGAGTTTGGAGCACACGGCAGGGGGGGTTATGGGCTGCAGCAGGGGCTGCTGTTGCTCTGAGTTTGGAGCCCACGGCAGGGGGGGTTATGGACTGCAGCAGGGGCTGCTTTTGCTCTGAGTTTGAAGCACACGGCAGGGGGGGTTATGGGCTGCAGCAGGGGATGCTGTTGCTCTGAGTTTAGAGCTCACGGCAGGGGAGTTTCTGTCTTGGTAAGGGTTGCTGCTGGTGCTCTGGAAGTGGGGCCTGCAGCAGGGGGTTTATGGCTAGGAAAGGGGCTGCTAGGTGCTCCGAAATTGGAACATCAGCAGGGGGTGATGGCTAGGGAAAGGGTGCTGCTGGTGGTCTTAAAGTGGAGCATCAGGAGGGGGGGTTAGAAAAACAAACAATTTTTTTTTTTCTAGAAGTCACATTGTTCAATGGGGTTGGCAAATGAGCCGAATTATAATGGTTTTTTGAAAAAAAAAAAAAAAGCACAATAGTACATAGCTATCCTTCAAGAGACAGTGGAGTGCATGGCTAATTGGCACAATAGTACAAATAGTAATACATGTCATTTTACAGTACTTAAGCACATGCGCTTTGGTGCTAATTGGCATATAGCTAGCTAACTAAAAGTTTTGTGAATGCCATATATAGTAGGAGTGGTGGGTTGACTAGAGAGTGGAAAAGCGCGTAAGGAATAGGAGGGAGGCAGAGATGCATGTGGGACGCCGAGAGAGTGGAGCTCATGGGGTGTTTTGAAGGCTCTATGCAGCTTGACCATTAGTATAGAATAAATTTGTTTTTTAAATTATTTATTTATTAAATTATCAACTAGAATTGTCTCATTATGAACTGAAATTGGAGCATCAATAGGGAGGGTTTTTATTTAATGACAATGTTGATGCTATGTCTTAATTTTTGAACTAACAGGATACAGCCCGAAAATGAGGAATGCGATAGAACGGCCTCTGCAAGGCGTCGATGGAGATTTAAGGCCCCAATAGGCGTTGTCACGGCTGCAGCCGCTTACTTGGCTACTGACATTGTAAGAAGGCCAATGCACAATTCGGCATTAAGGGGCATGGACAAGGTAAATGAGCTGTTAGCAAACAGCAATGAGAATGCAATGTTCAACAAAGTGCGTATGGGACCACGTGATTTTATGATACTATGTGAAATGCTAACTGATAAAGGGTTGCTACTGTTGGGAATAGTATCCTAGAAGCATGAGATGTAATATGATATTTATTATTTAATTAATAAAAGAGTTTATTCATCATTCTATGTGCATATATTTATGAATATTTTATGAATATCAAATGAAAATTCTGTGATTGTTTATGTAACCTTAAACATAGTATATAAGTGTTATATACGAGAGGATAGTGTTTAAGGATAATAATCAAAAACATTATTCATGATGAATTTAATTAAAGTTCAGAATCTTTAATTAAAATATTATTAATACATGTCATTCCCATTTAGAATGGAACGGTGTTATCCGCACTGTTAATATGGCGAGATATTGAATGAGTGTATTTCGCATAATAAGATTATGTGGAATAAGGACACAGACACAATATGAATTTCTAATAATTTCCGTTAAGCATAGAAATTCTAATTGAGTCTACCGATGGTCATATATAGGATGATCTTAATCTTGAGTTCTTAACAAACTCCTATTTATGGATTTATGTCTTTTTATTTACTCGGTACGGATTCTGAGACCCTGAATCATATTCCTTGTATTTTGGAGACATAATGAAATAGGTAGCTGGGAATGTTATTATACGAGATGGAATC